AAAGTGATTTAATGGATTAGGCTTATATACGATAGCATTATAAAAACGCTATACACGAAATGACTTAGCGGGAAACAAAATTTAGCCTTGCGAGCCTAAAATCACAAAAATGCCGCTAACACTTAGCCAATTTTTTATTTATTTTGCGTTTAAATTAACCAAAAAATATAAAACATCCCCCTTTTTTATTTTTCATTTCACAAAGAATTAAAAAAAAAAATTTCCCCCTTCTCTTTCGTCTCCAGATCTCCTCTTCCTTCTCTCTTTGTCTCCAGATCTCCTCTCCTCTTCATTCTCATCTTCTCTCTTCATCTCCCTCTCCTCCCCTCTTCAATATCTTTTTCTCTCTTTCATTCGTTCTTTCTCTTCTATGGTTTCACAAAACCCTAATTTGTCACTGAATCGCTTTCGTTTTCGATCGGAAGAAGTTTCTGGCAATGAAGGGAGAATTGGATGATGAGATGGGGTGTTTGTTGGCTCCACCGACCAGAACCATGGACATTGGGAAAACATATCTCGAGAACAAAGACGTCGCCATTTTTTCGATGAGAAAGATCTCATGTATCCAAAAAAATTATACTGTTGCTGTTTGTTCGATACGGAAGAGTTTCGGAAACGAGCACATGAACGCGAAAGAAAGTTTTTTTCTTCCGAATTTCATATTTTTCAATCTTGATCTGTTGATTTTTTCGGTTTTGAAACGAGTTTTTTTCCTCGATCCAGGATTCGGATCAGTCTAAATCTCGGTGTAGGGTTACTTCTCTGATTCAATTTATGAAAATTTTGAACTTTGTGTAATCTTGATGACATTAATTAGGTTTGTTTTTGTAGCCAAAGGTCCTCCTGTGCAAAGAGCCCCTTTGAAGCATAGAGATTATCATGTTGACCTAAGATCTCAGGAGTCTTAGGAACGTATTCAATCTGGGTATCTTTAATCGCTCTTTGTTTGAATAATTATTGGGTTTTTCTACTGCGTGTTGTTTTTGGTGATACGGATTTTGTGACTGGTTTTCACAAGAGGAAAAAGAAGAGGGGGAAGGAAGGCCAGAAGGAGCAAGAGGAAGCTATGCGCAGTAAGCGGTCTGTGAGAAGAAGGTGAGTATTGAGATTTGAGTGTTTCTTTGTTCAGATTGGTGATTTATGTCGTTCATCATCCATGGGTTATAGATTAGTCTTAAATCCCTATGATTTTGGTAGGAAGTTCTACAATGAACTTGTTCTTATTCGTCTCGATGGACATTTGAGTGTTTCTTTTGTTTTAATTTGACTATAATATTAATTCAGTTTTACATCTCTCAGAATGTGATCATGTTGTCCTTTGATAGTTTCGATGATGCATGAGTAATTGATAGTGGATGGATGATATGTCAGAGAGATTGTTAAGATTGTTAATATTCAATCATTTGCCTTATGTAGATTATGATTCTTGGCCTTGACCTTCATCTGATTTCGTATTGTTCTGAATCTGGTAACTGAGCTTTGAAGAGGAAAATGGAAGAGCTAATGGTTGTGGGTCATGGTGAGGAAAGTGAAGATGGAGAAGCCGAAGAGGATGCAGGGAATGAAGAAGTAGAGCATGATGCTTCAACCTCTGGTAATTTTCATAATCACATTAGTTTTCAATATGGAGTTTCCTATCATTGAGGTTAAAAAAAAAGGGGCATATTGCTCTAGCTTTAAGTTATATCGCTTCTTCTTGATATTCATCTTCTTCTCAGAACAAAATAATCAATTTATTTAATTTCATCAATTTATATCTTCGCTGATTCTTCATACTTTTGTTTCCAAACAACGTCCATTTCTTTGTGTCTGTATCAAGATGCGTGGTTGAGGAGGTCATTTCTCTGTTCATGTTCTTTGACTTGTCTTTGTTGATTTGCATGTCTGCTTTGTTGTTTAGATTGAATGTGTAGAGATCCCTATAGGTTTTTAGTAACTTAGTCAAGGTAACATGTAGATTGCATAAGCGTTAGATCTCACTACTACTACTCAAGTGATGCAAAACTCGACTGAAAAACCAACTGCAAGTTAGCTGTGTTTGCCATCAAATGTTGTGTTGATATTATTTTGAATTAGATAATCCTTTATTCTTCACATTTTATTGTCAAACAATATCAAGGAAACCATAAACATCAGCCATTTTTCCAGATTTACATGCAACTCTCTTTATGCTTGTCATGATTGTCATTTTCTTTTTCAGGTTGTGCACACTAAACGCTTTGCCTTTGCTTCACCAAAAGGATCTTCTCAAGCAAAAACAAAAAGATGTGCTGCATCTTGACGTGGTATGTTTAAATTGTTTCAGTGACACTTGATTTTTATACTTTTTTCTTGAAAGTTCATATATGGTTGACTGTTAGCTGTTTGTTTAAATTTTCAGGAGAACTTTAGTTACCACTGATTTTGATTTTATAATAAAGCAACTCTCTTTAATTATTTCTTAGCAACTCTTTCAAGTTTTGATAATGCGTCGCATATATAAGGTTTATGAAAACTGATGTGGAATTCTTTTGTATTAGTTTGTTTTGGTGTTTTGTTTACATTGTTGTTTCAGTGATGTTTTATTTGAGGGATTTAACAAACTATGGAACCGACAAGGAAGATAATTCTCCATTGGTACCATTCATAACATAAAAAAATATCAGATTCTTATAAGTTATAACATGTTGATTTTGTTGATGGTGTCTCTTTGGGAATTTTGCAGGCTTGAGGTTTTTGATCACTCAANNGTTTGATAAGTGGGTAGAGAAAGGAATAGCACCAGCCATAGCAGCACCAAACTTGAAGATTTTTGATCACTCAAGATTTGGGATACAAAGTTTTTATATAAGTTTTGGTTTGGATTAGTCTTTGTAAGACTTGTTACATTTTGTATGGAGATTTTATATATATTGAATTCTCGAAAAAAGAATAAGTTTCTTGTAAATGTGTAACAAAATATGCCAAACCAATGGGTCGTATATAGAAATGTAGATCGTGTATAGCGTAATGGTTTATAGCAAAAAAAAACTACAACAAACTAGATAATAATTACAAAATAGAGCTACTAAAAAATATAGTGTAGCACATATAAAGAGTTACAAAACAAATAAAAATAGCATTAAAATGTGTTATAATCATCACAATTAGAGCACCAATTATACGCTATGAAATGACAACA